CCCCCCCCCTCTCCTTCCGAAAGAAAATTATTAATAGAAGAGGATGTCAGCGACAGACGATCATGCGAGATATATCTTCTGTCTCTCTCCTCTGTATCCTGAATATCCTGGCTGATATATCCTGGCGGCTATATCACCTCACATACGAGCCTATTTATAAAGCCAACAAAGTATGAGCAGCGCGAGCGCTTGCGAGCATCTCATTCGGATGTCAAAACACGAGTTGGAGTTGTTCCAATCCCAGTTCGCCAAATTACGCCGAACGTCCCGGTTTAGTTCATCCACGCCGTGGGATCGCGGAACACAGTGCATGCCGTGCGTGACATGTGGCTACGCACGCATCCGACGTGGTGACGCCGCCTTATTCTGCCTACACTGTGGTTTTGTCGGATGCTGGAATCCGTTTTCATCCGGCGAGAAACATCGGGCTAAGCATGCGCAGCTGCACCTCATGTTAGTCGGCACTCACTGGCTCGCAGCCGATGTGGACAGACTTGAACTCTACTGCTATCTTTGCGGCGATTTTGTCTCTGATAGTCGCATTGAGGAAAGATCAATTGCGTTTCCAGGGCTCCCAGTGCATTGATCGGATAACTCACTGTTTCACATTTTTCTTCCCCTCAGGCAACAAACCTATCCAGCATCACACTTGAAAAGTATTGAGAAAAAAAAATCACCGATGCGTAATTCAATAAAGCACGGCTGGTTAGGGCGATGTGCCTCGGGGAATGTTCCCTGCCTGACACCTTTCCAAGTTGGTGCCAATATGAATGAGCTTAACAAACATGGTCTCAAAGGTCTTGTCAACATGGGTAACACTTGTTTCATGACATGCATCCTCCAAGTCCTCGCACATAACCCTGCAGTTCAAGCCTGTTTCAGACAGACAGATCTCTCCATGCCGAGTCTTTCACAATCCCAATTGAACTCCATGAATCCATTATTACCGCCAACACACATCGGCTATGAAATGGGTTTATTAATTTCCTCACTTTTTGAGCAGAACAGCTATATGTGCGGAGACGACTGCGCTCTTGATCCGGTGGTGCCGCACCGCATGTTGTACGCAACATGGAAGCTTGCCGACCACATGGCCGGGTATGATCAGCAAGATGCCCACGAGTTTTTGATGGTTCTTCTTGATGGAATGGCACAAAACGCCAGGATGACCGCACCATCTGGAAGTTTTGTCCACGAAGCATTTTGTGGTTATCTTCGCTCTGATGTGGTGCGCAGCCAAATGAGGAAATTTGAACCTGTAGTTTTACACTTCTCTACAGGCATGCGGGCTGTGCGGTGCGGTAAGCTCCTGCAGGGAGGTGTTTCTTGACCTGAGTCTCGCCGTTGGTGGTGCCGCTCAATCAAATAATGCTGTCGGTTGCAAATCAAATGTTTTTGCAGAGAAGTTGTGCTTTCAAAACGCCAGAGGACCCGCAGAAAATGTGGACCTACCAAACCCTGAGGCATTGAGTTTAGAGGAGTGCTTGGGCCGTTTCACATCCCCAGAGATTCTTGCAGACATCCACACCTGCGGGAGTTGCGGGATTCCTGTTAGGCGCAAAAAGCGCCTCACACTCGACGCTGTACCAAACGTCCTAATCATACACCTCAAGCGCTTCAACGCTCTTGACTCGCGCAAGGTCAAAGGGAAGATTGACTTTCCCACAGATCGGCCTCTTGATCTTGGTCCATTCCTCTCCAGGTGCCACGGACCAGACTGCAGACCTCTCTCTGATCCAGGCCCACATCTATATGAACTTAATGCGGTGGTGAATCACCACGGTGACATAAATAGAGGCCACTATACTTCATTTGTCCAGGAGGGAGGTCACTGGTTTCTCTGTGATGATCACCACATTGCCCTCG